CTTTTATATTTTAAATAATAAATAAACGAATCCATTTTTCATTTGAAAAAATTTTTTTAATTTAAAAACAAACTTGTAATGTTTCAAACTTCAGCTGTAATGTTTCAATTTGCTCATCTTTATTTTTTAACAATTCCTGAAATCTTCATACCGATAATTCCTGAAACTTCTTAAAATTCAGAATAATTCATGAAATTCCTTAAAACGCAGGATGATTCCGGAAATTTCTTAAAGCCGAAGATAATTCCTGAAATTTTGATACCTTATGCTCATTGTTAACGGAATGATTGACACTTTCGTAAAATTATTTTATTTGTAACCTTCTTGAAATTTAATACTTATTGATTATTTTTGTCTATTGATTATCTTTGTCTTCATAAATGCAATTATACAGAAATGATGAATGCTTTTTAAATTTACTCACTTGATCACAACACTGAGTAAAAGTTTTGAAATGATTGAAATTATACCTTATAATGTTGAATTGAGTTTTCACTAACATCTTCCAATTTTCCAGCTATCATTTTGTTGTCTTCAAGCTGAAATGTAATCAAATTCAGACATGTACGGGTTTAATTCCTTATGCAAAAAAATCATGCAATTAATTGAAGTGTAATTAATTTGAAAAATAACGAAATTTAGCACTATTTGACAGTTCTCTGTAGTTTAATTTTTCTTCTTTTAAAATGCTTCTTTCCCTATTACATTAACTCATTTATTCTTTCCTTTATTATGCCGACGGTTTGATTTTTTAATTCTTTATCAATGAACCACCGAATTGTGTTATAAATTATTCAAAAAAATACTGAATGAAGATTATATACGATAGTAAGAGCAAATGATTAATAATAATTAACGATAATAATAATAATAATAAATAATGATGATAATTACCAGTGATTGGATACTTCAGTATGATATTAAGCCGGTGGAAAATATGTTTCGAATCATGAAATTAGTAAAACAAAACAATGACACGGTCGTGGATGCGAAATTAATTAAATTAATTATAATATTTGACTTATTATTAAGTAACTGACCTCTTTTCTTCACTTATCAAAAAACAGATAAGTTTTAGTGATAGGGTTATTCAGATCACATTATTATGTTATCAGCAATATAATGCTTTTTTTATGTAATCAAATTTCAAAATATAAAAGTGCATCAATAAAAATTAATTCGAAAACTAAAATTGTTAAAAAAGTAATAAATATGCAAACTATCTGATAAACTTTACCTTTTTACCAAGTAATTCATTATCATTCGTTAAGCGTTCAATGATTTTATCACTTTCTAACAGTTGCTGATGTAATGTTTGATAATTATTAGCAGTATCCTCAATAAATGTTGTCGCTGAAGCAAGCGCTGTTGACAGTTGCTCAATTTCCGCTCGAAGTTCATCATTCTGTTGCGCAACTTCCTGATAATAATTCACATTCCATATTCTTTCTCAATTTTTAAAATTTATTACAAAAGATTATTGTAAATTCTTCATCAATTTATCTTTATTTTAAAAAAAAAAAAAACGAGTAGATTAAATGAACCTGAAGTTGTTTGGAAAGTAATGCAGCTTGTTGACTTCGTTGTCGTAATTTCAATGCTTCAGCTTCATTTATCATAGATCCTTCCATTTTATTTTCAAGCCGTCTGCTTAACTCACGAATGGATTCATCCAAAAATATTTTCTAGAATTGAAATATTGCAATGTATACTATCAAAATATATTCATACTTTGCAAATTTACAACGGATCATACCTGTTGAACAAATTTCGCACGTTCATTCTCGAGTTGTTCCACGCGATAGCTTAATTTTTCAGTCTCATCATTTTTCTCCGCTAATTCACGATCACTAAATAATCATTAAAATTATCCTCACACAATTGTTATTTTCAATTTTGATGAAATTTCGGAATATTAACTGAAATTGATAAACGGAAATTAGAAATGGAAACTTCGAAAACGAAAGTGAAAATTCGGAAATCAAAAGTGGAAGTTCACTTCCCTTCCTCAAATCTTTTTTTTCATGTATTTATTTACTTTAATTCATTGGTTTAAATCGCTTTTATTTTAATATTTTATATTGGAAAAGTAAAAATAAATAACCGCTCTTTATTTCGTTCTTTCAAATAAATATTTTCATCTGTTAAGCTAGCAATTTGCGTTCGAAATGTTTCATTGAGATCGGTGGCGTTTGTTGTAACAGCTATACGTTCACGCAAAATTTTAAGTTCAAGCTATAAAATGAAAAATCGAATTGAATGAGTTTTCAAAAAACAAAAAAAAAAACAAAAAAAAATGTGTCAGTAAAATTTTATAAAATTAATTGACAATGATTCTTCAAAAATATTAGATAATCTAAGATTTAATAAATTAATCAAAATCATTGTTTGATTATCGAAATGACAAAACTGAAATTATATTAGTCAGTAATTATTGCTACTTATTATTCAAATTATAAATGAAATGATAAAATCGCTAATGCAAAGGTACATTATGGATTCGATCGATTTAAAATAAGTAACTGAATGATTGCATCATCACAGAATCAGATCAGCTATGAGTAATAACAATCCTCATTCATTAATTATTATCTCTGATTAATTAAATTCATATAATTATAATAATTAAAAAATCTTCCAACAATTAATTAAACATACATTCATGTTTTCCTTCTCTTCTTCCCAGTTTTCTTGTTTCTCCACCATTTCCGCAGCTTCCTTTACCGCTAACTCTTTTAACTCTTCCGCATTTTCATGTTCATAATGCATAATCCATTTCATCGCTTTCATAATTTGCTTAATCGATTCCGACACTTCGATATCTTCCGGATCATACTAAATTAATTTTGAAAAAAAAAGAATAAAAATCATCGCTAAATTTAGATGAAATTGTATAGATTTGCAAGAAATGAAATGTTAAATTTAAATATAAGCATAAATTTTTCAAACTTCGTGAAAACAAAATATATTTGCTAAAGAAAATATTTTCATGCAAATTTATTTAACTCAACTTTCATCAGGTAACTTTAGATATAAAGAAATAAAAATTATCCAATGTTCAATATATATCTAAATATATGAGAATTATTTTTTGGTCACTTAAAAATTCAAAAAAAAAAGTTCTTAACAAAAATATTTTACACTAACCTTTAATAGTTCCTCATACCATCGATTAACTATCTCAGGATTATCATCACCTTTTTCAAATAATTCGTCCAATTCATTCACATTCAATATTAGCATTTTTCTGTTCGCAAATACTTTTTCATATCTGTTTGTTCGAGAAATTTTATTTAATTTAAAAGAAAGGAAGAATAAAAAGTAGTTAATGTAAAAAAAAAAATTATTTTATAGTATAAAGAATGGAATTGTAATTCACGAAAAAATGTATACATAAAATTATTGTTAAATCCTCTAAAAGAATAATAATGAGAAAGGACAGAATAAAAAGTAGTTAATAAAATAGCCAAGGATCATTTATTTCATCCATATATGTATATACATATACTTTATTTGGCTAAGTTCCTTTCGTAACGCATTGTTTCTATAGTAACCCTTAAACGTAAGCGAATATAACAACAGATCGAATAAACAAAACATTCCTTGCAATTCCAATGCTCAATATTCTTTTTTAAGTAATCGATATATATATAATTTTAAGTCATCGATATATACATGTTGCGTTAAACTGAATTGATAACTTAAATATTAAATATATGAATCTGCAATGATGAATTTGTGTAAAAACTTGAAAATGCTGATAATGACATGAAGATGAGGTTAGGATGATTTCATGAAAAAGTTCAAATCACAACATTACCAGGGGGAAAATTCCTATAATTTTAGTAAGCATGCTTTTCTTTTGCATTGTTTAAATCATTAAACTAATTTAAGCTTGAGCATTCCGTTCTTTATAGGATACTGTAACGTGTTAGGCCTTACATTTAGTCTATATGAGTAAAATAAATGACTTTATTTGTAAGCTGAACTTCATACAGTGAAAATGCTTTTTTGATAAGTCACAATTTGGGAAGGAATTTTAAAAAAGTTCATTATATTTTCAATGATTGTAGGAATTTTGCCTTACTGTGAAATTTTATAAACATCCGAATCAATGTATGCAATATGAACATCGTATCTGGTAAAACTTTAGATAAAAAGATTAACTATGAGAAGTGAAGTCCTCGAGATGAGTCAACTATCACGTGCCCTATTATTCACTGTAAGACACGAATCATTATATTATGGAGTTATCTTTTACGTGATTCGTAATTAAACAGCATTTTATTGATCAAATCTAATAAAAACCGAATAAAAACATAAAAGCACAATAAAACTGATCACATCTAAACATTCTAATAAGACAAATCAGTTTTTCGCTTCTTTGTCAACCGTTTCTTCATATTTTGCTGCCTTCTATAGAGTTGATATGACTGAATTTTTGCCTTTCTATTCCTCTGTTTCAGGATCTGCTCTGAAGTTTTTAGTTCAGAACGTGGCGCTTTCTCTTCTTTATTTTCCGTCTTATTTCGCCTTCTTCTTTTCCGGTTGCCACTACGTCTCTAAAAACACAAAAATATAATTTTCACAAAAAAAATTCAGTCACCAAAAAGATGGTTGTGTTTTCAATATGATCTCATCGAATTTCTTAAAATGACATCACTATCTTATAATCTCACCAGATCTATTTTGAGTAATGTTTTCTAACTCCAATTTGGACCTCTTCAGTAAAGCAAATTACTTCCTTAAAGAATGCTTCGAAAACAAATATCGTGTATAACAAGCTTGTTGAAAAAAATATGCTAATTGAAATTTGTAAATAGCGAACCCTAAAGTCCTGTTTCTTTATTCGTGTGTCAATCGTTTCTTCTTCATCATTATTTTGATATTCCAACTTCTGTTTCTTCTGCCATTTCTCATAACGACCACTTTTGTACGTTGCTGGCAGATAAGTCCCATCTTCCGTGCGTATTTTCTTCTTTGAATCGTCACCATTACTACCAACAAACTTTTTCAAT